AGTTTTAGGCAATTCTGCCTATGCTGAACTTCTCATAGACTAGATCTATTAAAAAAAGCAAACTAAATTAGTGTAATGTAGGCCAATTACTTCCTCAAGTATCTTTTCCTTATGGAATGTCTGCATATTCCACTTTTAAGCTCCAAACATTTGATAATTTCAAGTACTAATATTGTTTTGCACATAGGTAAAATAACTAAGTTCTCAGAGCAATATAAACTGAAAAAGGCTGAAATGAACGTTAACAGCCACCAACTTCATTAAAGCCACCAACATTAACAGGAATAAACTGACAAATAGTAAAAAATAGTAATTGGAAAACCACATTTTTACCAGGTTCTTTCAATGATTCTACAAAAAGTATTGCTTTTATTACACATATACATTATGCTAACAGCATGCAAAACATTTAATGGTATTCATATAACTTGGTTATTGGTCAGAAATGCCACACAGAGTTCAGGCTACATTCTTTCACACCAACACAAAACACTGAGATACTTCAGAAAGTATAAATCATCTGTAGCAACTGGAAACATCAGAGGAAATTTACACACAGCAACTTTAACTATTTACACTTGTCAACAAAATCACTGCAATCCCTGAAGGACTACTCCCACACTTCTTCCTGTCAATATAGTTGAACAAGTTTAGTAGATCTATTTGGGAGAATTACTAAAATCCCAAGTTCTCATCTTACATATTTAATTTAAAATCACTTATTTATAATCCTCTAAAAACCCTCTTTTCCAAAGACTCAAACACAGCTCAAAATAGCTACCTTCCACTCAAATATAAAAATATCTTAGAATCTTTACTGCTTTACTTGTTAGAAAGTATATATTTTCTAAAAATAAACCCTATGTTGATCCTTAGGGACTTACCCTTTTAAGAGAGGACAATTCCATTGCAATACACCTACAACTACCAATCCTATATACTGAAAAATAATCTGTTAAGTTAACTTCAAAAAAAAGCACCTAATCTCTCTACACTTATCTCAACATACACTTTGCCACCACCATCTTGAACAATGCTACACACAAAACCAGAAGAAAAGCGTACTTTGCTCTGAAGCAAGATGCGCAGTTCAACCATCTCATCAGTGTTCCGAGATCTTTTGAAGGCCTGCTCTTCCTCCATATCTTCTGCAGGACGTTTGCCTGTAGAGAGGTCCATAGGGGGGAAAGACAAACATTTATTTAACTTTCTAAGTCATAATGAAGTGGAAGACATGCCAAATTTATGCTCTGTACTATTAATACATTCTTTCATATTACCACAAAACTAATTACAGATGTCTATTCTGAACATCCACAGCACAGAAACCAGTCTTCACATCAACCGCTTTCTTACCAATTAACAATTGAAAATGCATTTAAAAATCTATGAAGTGTGGCTTAAAGGAGAATGGTGCACACAGTCAGTAAGAAATTAATGACATTTTAGACGCATTACAAGGAATGCAGCATCACCCACTTAGTATTTATTTATAATTTCAATTGGGGAAAACCTTTCAGGCATTAAAGCTCAAATGTAGTTTGTCCAACACTGAAATACTGGTGAAATAATAGTAAAGTAGCACTTCAGATGCTCTGGGAAATACTGGCACAAATCAACAATAATGCCCAAACTTCCCTGGTAATTCCCAAGGTATTTTCTATTAAGCTCTTCAGCAATATTTCATATATTCGTACTCCTGCATGTAACAATTACAATGAACAAAATGCAATTTACAGACATGTCCTATAGTATTCATACATATTCACATTTTCCATACAGCTATGAAATATTTTTCAGTGTTTAGAAATAACCTTCAGTTCTCATGTCTTAAAAATACCAACAAAAATATTATGCATTTATGCTTCACAAGCATGTGTAATGACACATTAATTAAAATAGAAGACATTTAATGCAGAACACAAAATTACTGCTGATGCAAACATATGGTAAAGTTAAATCATTATAAAATTCTTTGAAATACTAGAATTTTTAAGAAATAGTCCTTTAAAAAATTTACCATTTGTCTCTGTGTTGGTAAAGGTCTCCTCCTGTTGTTCAGTCTCCATTGCCTTTTTTTATGTAGGCAAGCAAAACCTGTTGAAAAATAAAAATGGTACATTTTTTTGTCAGGAGGCAAACTGTACCTCATACTAAAATGAAAAAAATAACAGAACTGCTACAACTTACCGCTATTATATATCCTTGCTGACAGAAACTCAAGTATTCTGGGTGGGATCAAAATCCAACAGCCTATTGCTTCAAGAGCCTATGAAAACAGCATATATCAGTTGTGAGTCTTCCCCCGTTATGTGTCTGATTCTGCTACAGTCAGAAACCAAAGGGTTGATCTAAACTATTACTGCAAATTTTTTCCTTATAAAAGAAAAAGCATATCCAAACCAAACACACTACTAAGAGGAGATAAAGGCCAAATCTGCAGACTCACATAAACTCTGAATTACACTGTCTGAATTACACTTTTTGGGCATATACAAGTTTTAAGTAACCACATAATCTCAATATTATGTGCTTCCGTTTCACTTTCTAAACGGCACTACACCAAAATCTGGTCCTGCTATTTTGGTCAACGCTATTTACACTTAATAAAAAGTCCTGGTAATCATCAGCATTTGTTCTATTAATTCTCTACTAGTACACATTTGAGCATGTGTTCCTCTCAACTATAATTGATGAATAACATAAAAATTACAAATTCCAACTACACTATAATAACGCCTTTTTTAAAAAATCACCTTCTGCAGTTACATACAACCACATGCACACACCCCCAAACCTCCAAAAGCACTGTACTTCAGTACAATTTTCTAAAATTGACTGTGACCTGCTTTTATCTGCTAAGTCACATTAGCAAGAAGTGTAAATAAAAACCCCACAATTTTCCAACTTACTATCATTAAAAATGTGATTTACAAATCTAGCCAAACAATCACGTTATTTCCCGTTGCATCGCATTAACTTCCACTGTCTCAACAAACGCAGGCACTCATTCCTGTATCCATAATCGGGGGAGGGGGAATGGGGGTGGGGAAGAAACTTATTAAACGTAGAGCTATGTAATTACTGCCCTGCTTGTAGCGGCTAAAAGTAGGCTTTGTCTTCCCAACACATACCGGTACTTCCAGGTACTTGAAGCGGGCTAAAAAGCATGCACAGGTTTAGTAATACGGGGATCTCAGGCAGACATTGCCAAAATTGCGCTGTTACGTGAACCCGCAGTAAGGAAGACACGAACAAACTGTGACAGCCCTTTTAGACACCGCTTAATCTATTTCCAACTATCTCATGAATTTTAAGGTAGCAGGGGGCAAACTGTTATTAGTTACAGTTACAATTCACGGCTTAGGCTCTCCTAGTCAAACTTCCCTACACGTCATGCCTCCTCAATAACCTCGCTCACCTAGGCAAATCGAGGACATTCACATAACTAATAAAGTCAGGTTCCTTATGAACACTGAAAGGCTAAAGCGGACAAGAGAGGTGGAACCAGCGACCACAGACCTAAGAGCTGAGACACATCAGAGCGCCTCCAAGGAGCAGCGGCACTTCTCGCCTTCCCCTCTCTTCCCCCCCACCTCCCCGCGTCTCCAGCCGCCCGCCGAGCGTGGCGGAGACAAGGACGAGCGCAGCGGCGCCCCCGCGCAGCAGAAGAAATGGCGCCCTCCGAAATGGCGCCCGCCGGCCCGCGGCGAGGCGGAGCCAGCAGCGGAAGGGCCGCCGCCACCACCACGCGGCCGCGGGAAGCGTTACCCGGCTCGGCCTGGGCGGACACAAAGGAGGTGCCCGGCGGCTCGAAGCCCGAGGCAGCGGGCAGAGCAGGGTCAGCCCTAGTGCCACGGGCACTCCGCCCGCCCCCTAAAACGGCGCGGCCGCGATGCGGAGCCTCCGCCCTCCGCTCGGCCTCTGCGGCTGCTTCCGTGCAGGCCGCGGCCCAGAGCGCCCTCGCTGCGCTCGCCATAATCCTCAATAGCAGCTCTCCCCGGGCACCCCCACCCGCCCTTGGAGCGCGCCCGCTGCCGCTGCGGAACCTGCGCTCTCCCCGCGGGGCAACAGGGCCAGAGGCCATCTGAGGACCCTCAGCAATAGCCGAGGCGGCGACACACCAGTGTCCTCCACGCAGCGTTTACCCCGTTCTACCCACGGAAGCTCTGGGGCCACGGCAGCCCCCAGGGGTTAAGGCCCCACTACAGGAGACACAGGCCGTCTCACACTGCTGTGTCACGCCGCGTCGCCGTGCGGATTACATCGGCGGCTCTATCGGCCCAGGGAAGGCCCTAGCCGGCCTGTGCCCTTCTCCCGTCCCCCTCCCCTGCTCGCCGGCCTCGGCCACACGGTGCCGCGGGCTGCGCGTACCTGCGCCCGCCGCCAGCCCCGCCGCGAACGGGAGAAAAAGGGGAGCAGCCCCAGACTCCGACGCGCACATCCACCAGCGCCACCCGCGAGTGGCCCCGCCGCCACCCCCCGTGCGGCCTCGCCGCCACCTCGTTGGGTGAGGCCGCTGCCCGTCAGCATAGGAGGCGGCGCCGCGACCCGCACCGCCCTCCGTGAGGGAAAGGACGAGACGGGCCCGGGGAAAGAGTGGCGCCACTAGATCCGTGCCGCGGCCGGCCGGCCTGCCTTTCCTACCTGGGCTGCGGGAGCCGCGGTGGGAACGGCGCGGGCAGCGAGGATGGGGCCCAGAAAAGCGAGAGCGGCTGCGGCCGGGAGGCGACAAAATGGCGGCTGCTAAAACCCCGCCTTGTGCGTGCAGCCCAGCGCCGGCTGTGGCGAGACTCTCGCGATGATTCAGTGCGCGCCTCCCATTGGCTGGCGGGAGCTCGCGGCGGTTTTGTGGAGCGCGGGCTCGGCGCTGCCCGATCCCTGAGGCCTCCGCGGCGGAGCCGGGACCGCCGCCGCTGCCGCCGCCGTGAGTTGGGCTCTCGGCCCCTCCGAGGGGTGCGCAGTGCCGCCTATCCTCATTCAGGTCTTCATCCTCCCCTCGCCTCTGCTTCCCTCCCTCCTTCTCTCCCTCACTCCCTCCCTCACTCTTTTCAACTCCTCTGTTGAAAGCTGGCGCTTTACTTGGGTTAACTAGGCGGTATCTTCCGAGTGGTGGAACTTTTGGGGAGAGCTTGGAGGCAGGGTGTTCTTTTGTTCGCTCTAAAGGCTATAATGGCAAAAATACCCCAATAAACACAGCAGAACCCACACCTGGTGCTCTTAAATATTCTTACTACAGGTTTTGTTTTCGGTGTGTTCTGTAGAAAAATTGAATTACTCAGTCGTCCTTTCTAAGCGTGCACGATCAAAGCACAGTTAGGCAACCTAATATTTTTTTTTAATTTTGTAGTAGTGACATGGTTGCAGGAGTTGAATGCACCATTAGCAGGGGTACTAGCGATACCAGATTTGAAGGTATTGCTGACTTCCTCGGTGGCGAAGAGTCTTGCAGAGGGATCTGAAATCGATTGGAGCAATGGGTAATTATCAGAGGCATGAAATTAAGCAAAAACAAATTCAGATTCTGCCCCTGGGATGCAGTAAAGCTGGGCACAAGTATAAGCTGGGAGAGGAGTGTGTGTAGAGCAGCCCTGCGAAAGGGATCTGGGGGTGCTGGTCGGCAGCAGCTCAGGCTGAGCCAGCACTGTGTGCCCGGGCAGCCAGGAGGGCAAACCCCATCCCGGGGAGCATCAGACACAGCATCACCAGCTGGGATTGGGATCATCCTGCTGGATTCAGTCCTGCTGCCGCCTCACCCTGAGTCCTGTGTGCAATGCTGGGCCCCACAGTCTGAGAAGGGTGGGAAGGTCCTGGAATGGTCCAGAGGAGGACAACAGAGCTGGTGGAAGGGCTGGAAGGCACATCCTGTGAGGAGAGGCTGAGGGCTCTGGGTTTGTCTGGTTTGGAGAGAAGGAGGCTCAGGGGTGACCTCATTGCTCTGTACAGCTCCCTGAGGAGGAGAGAGGGAGCTCCCTACCTAGGGAGTGAGTGCTGGTCTGTTCCTGGCATCCAGTAAACAGGAGATGTGGAAATGGTTCAAAGCTATGTCAGGGGAGCTTCAGACTTGACAATAGGAATATTTTCTTTACCAAGGACAACAAAGCTTGTGAAAGGCCTAGAGAGTAAGTGGTGTTAGGAGTGGTTGAGGGAGCAAGGTTGGAGAAAAGGAGGTTCAGAGGAGACATTATTGCTCTTCACAGCTGCTTGAAAGGAAATTGTTGTAAGGGCGTCAGCCTCTGGAACAGATTTCAAGGTCTGTTCAAAGGAAGTTCAGGTTGGACATCAGGAATTTTTTCACAGAAAGGGTATTTAAGCATTGAACAGGTTGCCCAGGGAAATAATGGAGTCACCACCTCTGGAATTGTTCAAGAAGTGATTGGACATGGCATTTGGTGCTGTGATCTAGTTGGATGGTGGTGTTCAGTCAGAGATTGGACTCAATGATCTTGGAAATCTTTTCCAACCTGAATGATTCCAGTTCTAAGAGCATGATCAAATAAATACTGGAACAGGCTTCTTGTAGAGGTGGCTGATGCCCTAAACTTGTTAGTTTGTAAGACAATAACCTTAGTAACATGGTTTTACTTCTGGTCGGCCCTGAATTGGTGAGATGGTTGGACTAAGTGATCATACAGAGTCCCTTCCAACTGAAATACTTCTATTCTACTCTGTTTTTGCAGAAGAACTTCCTAAACTAACAAAAAGTTACCGTTTATTAGCCACTGATGTCCTTGAAATGACAGCTGCCAAGACTTGGTGCTGTTGCAGCCAAGCCCTGCACTGGGTCTCTAAATAAGAGTGTTTCAAGCCAGCTTTCTGTTGTCAGGTACAAAGCTTTCAATCACAGACTGAAAGTCACTCCTCTGATATAAGTGTTGATATACCTCAGCTTGGTTCTGTAGAGCCTCTTCTGTTCGTAACAGTGCTGGTGAAGTGGGAGAATAACATCTCAGGTCAATTTCTAAAGTAAACTGTGTGTTAACAGAAAGAAAACCATAAAAAAGAGAAAATATATTTTAAAACCTACTACTCTTATGGTTTGGATTTTTTTTTGTCCAATCGCTTTCAATCTATAAGGAAAGAGTTTCAGTTATATGTTTCTAATTTAATCAACAGAAGAAAAGTGTTGTTGCTTTTGTATAAGTCTTGTTTGCTTGTTGTATAAGTCTCCATACTTTTCTTATATTTTGCACGTAACTTTTATGCTGATAATTGCACATACCTTTTATGCTGATTGAAACATTAAGTGTTGGAAATGCCTGTGAATTTAATTGTCTATAGAAATGTTTTTAATTTAAATTTTTTATACAATATAAAATGAAACTTGTAATAATTTCAATTTTTGTCAAAAGGTTAAATATGTCTTTTTGAATTCCATTCTAGGGCATTCAGTCTCTTAACATAAACGAAAATGTCTACATCTAGCATTGTAGCAAGAGTGGAAACCTGGCTTTCATCCACATGGCACGTTAAAGTTCCTTTAACATGGCTGGAAGCATGTATTAATTGGATCCAGGAAGAAAATAATGGTAGTAATTTAAGTCAAGCTCAGATTAACAAGCAGGTATTTGAGCAATGGCTTCTTACCGATCTGAGAGACTTGGAATATCCTATTTTGCCTAATTGCGTTTTAAATACTCCCAGGGGAGAGTTATCCGGCTGCTTCTCTATACAGATTGATTCACTGGTGGATGTTAGCCAGCCAGCATATTCTCAGTTGCAGAAGCTAAGAGGGAAAAGCACTGTAAATGAAGAAGTAACAGCCAGTACTCAGGCATTTCAGAAGCCCTGGGAAGCAAAGCCTACTCGAATGCTGATGCTACAATTAACCGATGGCATACATCAAATTCAGGGCATGGAGTATCAACCAGTGCCTGTTCTCTGCAGTAATCTCCCTCCTGGAACAAAAATCACTGTACAGGGCAATATTGCATATCGTCTTGGAGTTCTTCTGCTTAAACCAGAAAATGTGAAACTGTTGGGGGGTGAAGTTGATGCTCTCCTTGAGGATTATTGTCAGGAGAGAGTTCTTGCTAGGTTAATTGGAGAAGCTGAAAATCCTAATTCTGTTGGACGAGCTGGACATGAACAGATTTTTTCAAGGCCTGTGGATGAGTTAGAACAAATTCTTGCTCCTTCAGATGAAGAGCTTTTAGCCAGCCTTGATGAAAATAATGAATTTACTTTAAACAACAGAACATCTTTAGAAAGTGGATACTGTACTAGAAGCAACAATTTTAATACAGCCTCAGGTTCACTGCCTGCACACAATGGAAGTGTTTTGCTACAAAAATCTGGAAGTCCTTTGCCTCACTCAGATGAAGTTTCACCTCCCATAGGATACGCTGATGGCTTTTTAAATGACTTTCCTTTAGAAGATGACTTTCTTCTGGAAGAAGAGATGCAAAGAGAGATGGAAGAAGTGCCACCAGTGGAGATGAACAGAAACATTACTGTCAGACTTCCACATACATCTACAAGCTCCTGCAATTCATCTTTACATGGCACTGGTGAAGAAGACAATGAGAATGAAAGAGATAAGCCCAGGGAAGCGATCAGCGAGGAAAAGAACATGAGAAGAGCAATATCTGGTGAAGATAGAAATAGCATGAGCAACTTTTTGCTGCACAAGGGCTTACGTCAGACCTGCAGTTCATCAGCTTCCTCTTTGGAAAATCCTCCTGAGGAGGGGCAGAATTATACAGACCTAGATGAGAGCAGATGTAAACACCAACACATTTCTAACAGCAGGGTATTAAATGATGATCTTGTATTTTCCTTAAAAATGGATCCAGAAGGAGATCAGCAGAAATGTGATTCACAGATCTTTCCTTGCAAGGCAGTAGAGGCACATTTAGATTTAGATTCCCCACCTTTCACATATATTTCCCTTCTCCTTGCAAAAAAACCAGAAACTGTTACAATTCTGAAAGTTAAATGTTTTATTGTAACTCTTACCGGAAACCTCACAAAAAGCAATGGGTCCTGGGGTATAAAGGCAAAAATTTCTGATGGCTCTGCTTATCTTGAAGTAGATTTTGCTGATGATATTCTAACAAGTTTCATTGGCTTTTCAGTGCCTGAAATAAATAAGCTGAAAAAGGATCCAGCTTTACGTCTGAAACTTAAGGATGGTTTAGAGAAATGTCAAAAACAGCTGATAGATCTCTGTTGTTTGATGACGATTGAGTTTAATCCATTTCAGTCTAAAGCTACTGTATTAATTCTCCAGGATGCTGATGCTAGGCATCTAGAGCAATTGAAGAAACGTTTGAATAAATAATATGTGCAAACTTGCAGACTATGTGTTAGGAAATGTTTAAGTCAGATTTCCCTTGAAGAACTCCTGAGAGTTAAACTTCAAGCTAAGTGGTGTGTCTTTTATCAGGAATTATAATGTAAAAGTGAGACAAGGAGAGGATTTGTTGGAGCACAACTGGACAGATTGTTTCTTATGGTGACAGGATTGGAATAAGATTTCAAATATTTGTGTCTTGACTTTTTCATTCTGCAAAATCCTGTGTAATTCAGGTAATCCTGAGTAGCAGAATTTGTCAGGAAATGTATAACAATGAACAAACCGTCTTGTTATTTTACTTTTTGAAGTACTTACCTGATTTTTAAAAGAAAGGTGCAGGAGACTCAGTTTTTTCCTTGGAGAAAAGCAGTTGAACAAATTTAAATCAAATGCAGTCCCTTCTGCCTATGCTAATCTGAAGACTGAAATCTGTATTCACTGTGCAAGAACCTAAAGCATAGAGAAATTAAAAATTGTCTTCTAAATATTTAGGTGTGAGGAAAAAAAATCCAATCCTATACAAAAAGGACATTTTAAAACCCTCTATTTTTACAAATAATATGAAAGAAAGCCAAGTGTTTTAAAATGTTTATTAACAGAAAATTATCATAACGTATGTGGATTCTATTTTTTTGTCACATTAATATTAATCATTGCTAGTAGTTTCAAAATTAGAGGCAAATTTATTTATTAACTTTTATGGTTACTTGACTAACCTTTTTACAGAGTAGTCAAATATTTATGCTGCACATATGTTGTATAGTGTATTTAATGCTGGTCTTAATTTTGCTTTATTTTTTTAAAATTTCTGCTTCTATTAAAGTTTTCATTTAAATTTTGGTGGATGCTGCTTAGTCAGTTTAAAAGAAAACTAAATATTTTGTTGAGTGTACAGAGTATAAGAAATTATTTTATTAAATGTTTTATTCTTTTTGCTTCTTCCCCTTCTTTCCCCTTGTTTTGGGTGTTTTTCATTTGTTTGTTTGTTTTCCTTTGGTTGATTGGTTTGAGTTGGCTTCTTTTCTTGGAAATTCAGAGGAATTAATATTCTGGCAGGAATAGGGGAAACAATGACAGGAGCAGTTTGCCCAGTGTTGATAGTGCTTGCAAAGAATGTAAAATTAGTGGCTGGGAGAGATTTTTTTTAATTGACCTGTCTTTATCTTTTTTCAAAGCCTTTTCTTTATCTGAGCAATGTCTGTTAGGCCATTGAGATTTGCTGTGCAAGACTGTCAATATAGCCTTACTGCTCAATCCCAAATTGAGAACCGTGCTTGAAGACTCCAAGGAAAACTAGGAAGTAATTTGCCAAGTAGGGTAAAAATGGAGGAAGGTGGAGCATGGGACATCTTGAGAGTTCTTATGCTTGAGGTGTAAGGGGGGGTTAGGCTTTATTTTGTGCAGTTTATAAACAAAACATCCCTTTCTTTCCTTGCCTCTCCCACTGTCAAGAGAACCTGAGGAAATTATAACCCTGCGAGCCACCTCTGGGTTTATTTTCTGAGGCTTTTGGGAACAGTACATTATTTAGAACTGTACAGCAAAAGCTTTTGCCTGTCTGGAACCTACATTACTGGATCTTGAGTTACAGTTTCAGAAAAAATGGCTTGTTAGTAGGAATTTGACCAACCTTCACTTCATGTAAACCTTGTAGAAGTTAATTGAGCTGACTGTAAACCTCCAGTGCCGTTTTATGGAAATATTTCTCCTATAATGAGTTAGGAAACGTCCTTTGAAGTTTTTGCATTAACATGTAAAAGGATAGGAGTCTTCAAACTTCAAATGGCACAAATAATCCACAGATTTTATTCTGCTTGTGCAGAGGAAGAATCATGTTATTCAAATTGCAAAATCAAATTAACTGTTGTGTTTGGTTTAGATGATGAAGTCACACCTGCCCCTCTTTTTTTTGCATTTCCATCAATGTTTAGCCATGTCTGCTACAATAATTGCAGGTACCTCCTGTTCTCTTCCTCCCTCCCCCACCTTAAAGGCAATGTTACTTGTCTGACATTTTCTTCTTCCTCACCCCCATTGTCATTGTCTTCATTTTCAACATGTGCTCTCTAGAAAGGCACTGTCATGCCTGTGGTCTAGTGCAAGCAAGAAGATCTCAGTAAAGCTGTTTACAACATGACTGCTCTGCAGATATTTCAGTGCAATTTTCTGGTGTATAAGGTCTCCAGATCTGTGTTCAAGCTTTTAGAATTAATGAGAAATATTGCATAGTTTTTCCAACAAGAAAAGGAATTAAATTAGTTATATTGAGAAAGCATGCTTGTTTAAGAGCTGATGTCAAACAGGAAATATTTTGTGTGGCTATGCATAAGAGTCATTGATTCTTGCCTTATCCACTTTGTTTCCTCTCAAAATCAACTTTTCTCTTGGTGCTCTTTGTATGCATGGTGTGCATATATTGCCTCATTGTACCTGTGTGTCTAAGCCCTTCAGATAACCACTGTTCTTACAGGCTGAATTCACAACACAAGTTGCCACCCCAGCAGAGGTATGGCCACATTTCTGTAGAATACAACAGCCCTCCTGCAGCAGCTGTTGAAGGCATTTGTCATGGCAGCTGCTCTCACTAGTTAGATATGTGTAGCCTGGCAGAAGGCAGCCTTTGCACTTTCTGTTCTCTTTTGTCTACAGTGTATCACCAACTAACTTCTTGTTATCTTTGTTTCAGGTGCTAAGTAGGCTTCTGCACTTGCAGCATATCTGACTGCAGTAAGGTCCATGCTCTTCGAGAAAGTTTTCCTTTCAATGGGGAAAAAAAGGTCCTTTTTTATTGAAAAATACCCAGTCACAGGTCACAGTAAAAACTTCCAATTAATTCGGTGTCAATACATGAAACCTACAATATTCTTGCACAGGGACTTAGTTGTTACCCTGTTAACAATGAAAGTCAGTTCTTGCCTTATGGTTATTCAAGAAAATGAAAACAATTCATGTGCTATGGCAGTAGCAGTCAGAATACCCTTTAAAGGCTCTGTCACTTAAATCAAGCTAGTAGAAAACATAAGGCTCTCAGAAACTTTGCCATGCCCTAGTTCTTTTCAAGGTATTCACACAAACTAGAACAAGGCTATGGTTAGTCTGGGAAATATGGCATGTTTCCAAATAGACTAGGCTGGCAAAAACAGCTTGAGGACTAGTCTAATCATACTGGATTTTAGTTAGGCCACAAATATGCATGTCGTTATAACCCTGCAACATCCTTGTTGAATGCAGGCAGTGCTCTCAGGAAGCAGCAGCTATTTGAGATAATGTAATATCAAAGTATGAGTGAAGAATGTTAAAGGATTTCCTGAAAGATATTCTGGACTGATCAGAAGTGTGAGTTCACAGTAGAAGAATTATATATTTCAAGTCATATCAAAAGCAGAAATTTTGATGGTAATGGAATGGAACATGATTAGATGGAACAATAAATATAACATTTGGTTCTAAATATAAATACATATTTCTTGATGTCTCACTATAATATCAAACATTTCTGTTTTGAGTAAAAAGGTAATAACTTTAAGCTTTTTGCTATAGGGAGGAAAGAATGATTTATAGTACAGTGTTTCTGAATTATCTGGTGGCAAGGAAAGTTAAATATCTTAGAGGAAAAAGCAGAAAGGACTTTAAAATGTAACACCTCTCATTTCAGATCTGTTCTCTGGTGTTATGCTTCTAGAAGGAACAGAATATCAATAGTAATAACAGCAAATGAGAGGATAAAGATAAACTGACATTGCAGTTCCTGAATTCAATAGAGGAGTTTGCAAGTTTCCTACAAATCAGATGCTAATCTAAATGTATCAGTCTGTCACTTTTTTCCTTAAGAACTTTATTATTCTTTATTTTACTGGATTTTCTAATGGGGTGAAATTGCAGTGTGTGGCTGTTGGAATTTGTCCAGCTTCTGATTCTTTTCTTAAGGCTAAAAAAACCTGTCTCTCTCATCCTTTCCAGGAAATGGCATGTGCTCCACTGGATCTCCCTGACCACCTTGGCAGCGTCTGCTGGTCACCTGCTTCCTTGTCAGCAGCATTCTTGTGCTAGGGAATGCTAAATAGGACACAACACTCCACATGCAGTCTCAAAAGGGCTGAAAGCAGAAGGCAGCTTGCTCTCTGGGACCTGTTTGCTGGTTGTGATGGTCACTGCCAAGGTCACACGGCTGACTTCTGTTGAGCTGCACACAAGTACACACAGCTCTTACTCTAAAGCTTCCTCACCAGCTGGTTCCCAACCCATACTGTTGCACGGAGCTACTTCTGCAAGGATGAAGGAATTTGCATTTGTCTTTGTTGATATTCTATTTCTACAAGTCTGCATGTCCAACCTGTGCCGTAACGGTTCTCTATCTCTAATCACTTTCTTTTCTTGTCTTGTCCCTCATTGCCATGTGTGGAAGCTTCTCTACCATTTTCCCCTTATCTAAACAATCAGGCACCTCTTTCTAGAGGGAATTAGGTTGGGCAGACATGACTTGACATTGTAGGCTTGACATTGTGCTGACTGTTTCAATTTACCACCACCTTCATATGTGTCATGGTTTGACACGGGAAGAGAATTTTTTTTTTGGAAGGAAGAGGTCCATCCAGTCAGGGGTCAGGTTTGGATACTGACACTTGGGGTGACCAATTGAAGGTGGACACGCCTCTGAGAACACAGAGGGGTTAAAAGCGGAATTCCCAGGAGGACTCGTCCTTCTTTGGTCCTGGTCATCGCAAGGTACGGACCTCCCTCCCCAGCCCGGGCTGGGTGGGGGAGGGGAGCCATGGGGCCTGCAGAGGTAGGCCAGGGGGTGAAGGATCGGAACCGAGCTGGGCCAGCTCCTGCGGACGGAAGGGTGGAGAACATCTGGGATATTTTTGTTCCCCCCCCCCCAAGCTAGAGGGAAAAGAGATAGAGAGCCTGCAGACATCTGGGAGTTTGCCGGCAGAGGAGAAGGAGAAGTGGGGGGGAAGATGCCCAGCGTGGGAGACTGGAGATGGAGTCCTGGGCTGAGATTTCAGCTGTCCGGGGAGTATGGGAATTTTAACCCTTTCCTGTGAAATGAAGGCTTTATGAAATATTACTCCTCTTGAATTTGAAGGAAAGAGAGACAGCCTGGGACCTCAGATGTTCAGAGAAGAAGGTTGGGGGGGAGATGATGGAGTGGCTTTTGGCTGGACTCTGCTTGTTTACCATAGACTGAACCACTCTTTCTTTCAAGAAGGACTGCATTTTAGGGGGATGCACTGGTGAGCCAAGAGACCTTCTTCAGCAACTACCAGTTTTGGAATGGACAGAGAGAGCTGAGGAGGGTGTGAGGATGCCCTCCATCTTCAGAGAAGAAGAGAAGGAGATCTCTGTCCTTGGACCCTCGGCTCCAGGGGAAAATGGGGGGGACTCTAGTCCCAAATTGTGATACTGGACTGTTGTTCCTGGTGGTCCTTGGCAAAGCATCCTTAAAGGGGCCCTATAAGCAGTCTCTGTCCATGCACGGTGGTGAGAGCACTGTGACATGGAGAGGAGAGTGTCACACTGGCCGGTGTGTCTGGGCAGTGCCACGTGTGACATGGAAACACAAGAGGTGGCAGCTGTGTTTCCTGGGGGTCTGTGGTGCAATGGGGACTCCTCTCTTCCCCGATGGACTCAGTATTGATTATATTGAAGGGTGAAAACTTGATTAAGGATCCAAATGGGTCTCGCTGGGGTTTGGTGGAGTTGGGTGGTGGGAGGAGGAATGTTTTGGAAGGTTTTCATTTCGAATTTTGTGTGTTTTTTTTTTCTTTCCTTTCTTTTCCTTTTATAGTAGTAGTAGTAGTGTAATAAAGTTTTTCCTTTGTTATTAAGTTTGGCCTGCTTTGCTCTGTTCTTGATCACATTTCACAGCATTTGATTGGCAGGTTGTATTTTCATGGGGCGCTGGCATTGTGCCAGCGTCAAACCATGATAATATGCCCCTCATGGATTGATAGGGGATTTGCTCTAATCCCTGGGATTGAGGTCAGACTGTCAAATTAGTAATTCCCTGGATCCTCCTCCTGGAACATGGGTGTGGCACTTGCCTTTTACCACTCATCAGGTACTGCTGAAACCTTTCCAGTGTCATTGAGAATGTTCTTGTGGGACACAAGCCAGCACCCTCTCTGGTCCCATGGGGAGTTTTATGTGTTTGCAGGATAAAGCAGTCTGTTGCTACAAGGAGGTACTGATACATATGATTTCAGTAAGAAAGACACTCTGACTCTAAAATACCATTTAAAACACTAGTTATTGGTGATGAGGACAGACAGGGAAGACTCTGAGGTGGTCAAAGAATCTGAATTTATTGTGAACTACAACTGTATATGTAGTATTTTAGAAAGGCTAATAATGTTTTACTACACTAATTGGGTTAAAAATCACATAAACAAACATGCATTTTGAACAACTCTTGCTTGCAGAAGTCTGATGTAATTTTCTTTTTTATGGTAAACCTGTCTGATTTAATCTTCTTGCAATCTTGATTTAATTCTCAAAGTTCTGTTTGCTCTTGCCAAGGCATCCTATTATCAAATCTCTTACACTAACCAGGTCCAAGGTCCATCATCTGTTTTGTGTCCCAGTATCCCAATAACTGGTTATTAGAACTAATGCTTTCAGATAAAGACAAGTCCATGCAGGTGGCATAAGCTCTGGTACAAGAACTTTGTCAAGACAAGCAGCTGCTTGCTGGGTCCTCCAACACTGTGCTGCCTGAGCTTGTCCTACCACCAAGAGATTTGCTCTGTGCAACACAGCCTGAAGGCCACACTGGCTGTGCAGAGCACAGACCTTGCCTGCTCAGGTTAGCCATGATATGTCACTGAGCCCTCATCACTTTCTGGTCAGCATCTCTGCATTCTCCTGTCCCATTACTTGCAGTCGGTTGTAATACCTTTCTACAGATACTGTTAGTAGGCTTGGGAAACTTAGTAGGCTTGTCATCAGCTCGTAGATACCTGCTTCTTCCAGTTTCTGTGTTGCCTCTGTAAGCTGTAAGTTATTTAGACTGTATCACAGGTTTCATACTGTAATACAAGTTACAATTTATGCTAGCTTTAAAATAGTTTTACTGTAGTGGCACTGCAGATGGTAGAAGAACATTTTTGGCTAGATGATACTACTTAAAAAGCCATGGTAATATATAACTTACTGCTTTGTGGCAGGTGAATACCAAAACATTATTTTCATGGACAAAACTAACATTGATTTCAGCAAAGTTCAGTTAATATAAAAAAAGGGGAAACATAGGCTTCACAAATACCGTCTGAATTGGCAATACAGCATAAACCAGAGAGGTGAGCTGAGCTGGGTGAACTGAGAGGGATATTCATAGAAGGAGTAACAGATTAGAGGCCTTTCAGGATAAGGGTATTTCCCTGTTTACCAGGGAAGCTCTCACAGAATCACTGTGGTAAAGAAAATTTGCCTCAATTCTGTGGCTATTCAAAAAGCACTAGGAATTCCAATTGACTGAGAGAACATCTAATCTTCAGCCCTGTTGAGCACCTTTATGGTAGGTGGAGATTTGAGCTGGGAGATATTTCATACTTAATGCTTCTTAGTAGCTAAATGAGCACCTCCCTGCACACTGACTTAGATTATTTTAGCTTAATTCCTTGTATAAAACTCAGAGATAGCCAATACAGTTAATTCAGCTGGTATAGTCCACTATGACATGTTAAACAACTTTTTGTTGGCATACTTGATAGGTTGGAATTTTCTTCTAGGACAATAGTCATTTCTTTGGTGGGGGGTGGGGAAGCTCTACAGAGAGACCTGGAGAGGCTTAATCAATGAGCTAAGGACAGCTTCATGAGGCTCAACAGGGCAAAGTGCTGTATCCTGCACTGGGGTCACAACCACCCCATACAGAGATACAGGCTGGGGGAGGAGTGGCTGGAGAACTGTTCAGCAGAAAGGGACTTGAGGGTGCTGGTTGAAGCCAGCTCAGTATAAGCCAACAGAGTGCCCAGGTGGCCAAGGAGCCCTATGGCATCCTGGCCAGTATCAGCAATGGTGTGGTCTGCAGCACCAGGACAGTAATTGTTCCCCTGCACTTGGCACTGATGAGGCTACACCTTGAATCCTGTGTTCAGTTCTGGGCCCCTCATTTTAAAAAGGACATTGAGCTACTGGAGAGTGTCCAGAGAAGGGCAACAAGGCTCCTGAAAGCCTAGAAAATGTGTCTTATAAGGAATGGCTGAGGGATCTGGGTTTGGTCAGTCTGCAGGAGAGGAGGCTCAGGGGGAACCTCATTCCTCTCCACAACTCCCTGAAAGGAGGGTGTAGTGAGGTGGGGGCCAGTCTCCTCTACTGTGCCAGTGAGAGAACCAGAGGAAATGGCCTTAAGATGAGACAGGGGAAATTCAGATTAGTTATAATAGAATATAATAAAAATTACTATATTTTTTTCACTGTTAGCGTGGTCAGGAAATAAGTTTCCTTGGAGGTGCTCAAGAGGAGTCTGGATCTGCTGCTGAGTGGTGTGGTTTAGTGATTTAAGGGTTAGAGTGGTAATGCTGGACAGTGGGACTGGATGATCTTACAGTTTTTTTGCAGCCTTGGCAATTCTATGATTATTCTATGAAAAACAGATTATTATTTCTGCTTAAAGGGTCAAGGATTTATTTTATTGATGTTGATAGTCACAGTACAAGAATGAGGCAATGGTGGCACTAACTGCAGAAGATGAAAATCTAATCTCATTTTTAAAGTATTGGGAGAATAACAACCTTCACAAACCATTCTTTCAAATTAAACATCAAAATGCTAAGGAGAAAATATACCTATGTTGAAAGAATCTGTGATGGAAAAGATTGTGATTTATGATAATTAAGAGGAAATGTGCTCCACTAACAGCATTTACAAAAAAAGTATAATTTCAACCAAAATATTAATAACTGACTTTCCTGCTCCTAGGACAATCTCTTGTTATATTTATAATTCCAGTATGATCATAATTTAACAGATGTGTACTATATATAAAATTTGGGCAATTAATTATTAAACAATAAATCTATCATTTATCATAAAGAAATACAGCAGCTGCTAATGCTGCTGACTGCCTAAGCATATGCTTAGGTAATTTACTCCCTTGTACCAACTGTTAGTGTAATTCCCTCATACAGTTTCTCCATACTAGAAAGTGCTATTAAGTAGAAAGTGTAAATAAGTATCTACTTGTAACTTAAAACTTTCAAATTATTTTTCATTAGATACCTTTTTATGAAAACTCATCTTTTGTCTTAAACCTTTTATTTACAAATGGATAACTCAAATACAAATACTGAAAAATTTGTTTGAGCTGCCAAGAATATTCTGCCAAGCATATGTGCAGTAAGAGCCAGTATAAATAATATATTACTTTAAAATAAATGTTAGTGTATGAAAGAGCACTTCCACATAGGAAACTTTTTGTTTTAGAGATAGTCAGATACAAAGACAAGCATCAGCTTTTAAGTGCTACAGGATCACATTGGATAGTGTAGGCAAAGCCAAAACAGGAGAAAAGTAGATGTCTTACTTATGAGGCTTGTTGCTGCTCATGAAA